CCCACGGCCTTCCTGGGGGGTGGGGAATGGGCGGTCTGGCCGCCTTGTGGTCAGCAGGAAGCCCCTTCCTCTTCAGCTCGGGCTGCGGAGAAGTCCCCAGGAGGCTGTTCTAGAAGGAGCCATGGGCTTGGCCTCAGGCCAGTGGGTCTGGTTATAGTTCCACCGTCTCTTGCATGTGTCTCTGGGGGTGGCCACTGCCCGTCTCCCCTCGGCTTCTCACCTGCAAAGTGGGGACCAGGGGCCCATTTACAGGGCTATTGGGGGAAACAGTGGGAGAACGTGCGTTCTCTCCTGGCCTCCTGCATGCAAGCTTTATGGGAGAAGCCTGGTGCTTTTGGGGGGCAGGGGTCCGTGCCCTCCCCCGTATCGTGATTCACAGCCATGTCTAGGTCGGGGGTGGGGACCCTCCGGGTGGGGCCATCCTTCTGTTTTCCTTCACCTCGTCTGACCCCCTCGCTGCCCCCGAGGGACCAGGACTGCCTCAGGGTCCAGGCAGCCCGGCTCAGTTAGGAAGGGGTTTGTTAGCGTGCTTCACTGGAAGCAATTATTAAGCACCAGCTGAAAGCTTTCATCAGTGTCTAATCTTTGCCAGCCATGTACGCCAGCCCCACCAACATGAAAATGAGCATTTTTTTTTCATGTTTTGAAGGTAGGAGGGAGAAAGCCTGTGGCCAGATATGAGGGTTCATCAGAGGCGAGGTGCCTTGGAGTGACCGTGCGGCCTGAGGTCACATACACATACACACGGGCACGCACGCCCCTCTTGTGTGGAGATGGAATTGCTGACCCGAGCTCACACACACGCACACACACACACACACACACATACATATGCATATGTGCACACGTGCCCCGGATGTGTGGAGGTGGAGTGGCTGGTAGGCCAGTGGGCTGCAGATAGTAAAGGGTCCCCAGTGGAAACCTCCCCTCCCCCCCGCCAGCCCTCCCCCTCCCCCAAAGACTACCCTGTAAAAAGTCTCTTCCGTCCCCTCTAGCACCCCCTGTCATCACATGTCTTCAAGCGGAAATGAGTATCGACTCTCATCTTTGCTCCCTTTTTCAATGGAGGTAAAATTCAAGGAACAGAAAGCCTACCATTGGAACTGTGCTGAAGAGTTCAGCTCAGGGGGTCTGCCTCTCCCATGTTGAACACAGAAGGGATACAGCACTGTTCCGCCCAGGCTCCACTCGCTGAGCTGGCCTCCTTGGGACAGGTGGGGGGTCCTTTCCGCAGTCTCTGTGGTAAGTCTTTGCTCTTGGATGCCGCCCCGTGTTCCCATGAGCAGCTGAGTCCCGGCGAGTGGGCCGGGCCTGGGGTGGGTCTGCACGGAGCTTCCAGTCTGCAGCTGTTATAGACAGTGTGTGGGCAGTCGCCCAGGACACCCATCAGTCCATGTGCATGGGGACATCCATGGGAGAGCTCCCCGAGCGGAAGTGCCGGGCCGCGGGGCTGACGGGCTGTGATTCTAGAAGGAGCCACAGGCTGTCGTATTCCCGCTGCAGTGTGTTCCGGGGCCCGGAAAGAGCTCTGTCGTGAGCCCATCCTGCTGTGTCTCTCCCGTCTGTCCTGGTCCAGCCTGTCCCCCCCTGGGCTGGCATGCTTCTAAGTGCAGGGAGTGAGTGAGGACACTAGGGCCCGCCAGGGCTTGTCTGGGAGGAGGCCTTCATCCTCGAGACATGGGCCCAAGAACAGCTCTGCTGTTGGGTGAGGCATTGGCCGAGTCCTACATCATCCTCATGGACAGAGGGGGTTGCTGGGCTCAGAGAGGCCAAAGGCCGTGATGACACGAGGCAGGTCCAAGGCTCAAGGCAGGGAGGTGCCCACGGGCCTCCCAGAAGATCAGCCAGCAAGCTGCTATTCTGCAGACGTGCACTAGCCAGGCCAAGGCCACAGCCCCGTGTCCTCCAGGAGGTTCACCCCGACAGCCCCTTTTTCAGCACCCGCTGTAGTTCAGCCTTCTTGCCCAGGGCAGGGAGCCCTCACCCAGGACCCAAGTCCCATCTGTACAGGAGGTCAGGCGCTTTGTTGCATTGAATGAGGCTGCGTCCATGTTCCTCTGGGACCCCCAGGGTGGTCTCCTGAGCACAGAATGTGGGTCTCTTATGAAACTGGTGCAGTTTCCAATTCCCTGTGAATGTTCAGGTGATTTTTTTTTTTTTCAATCAGTGATATCAAAATGCCTCCCTCCTGTGTTTTTGATCATCAGCCCCTTCCCCTGGGAACTGGGATTTCCTGTTAGCTCAGACAGTAAAGAGTCTGCCTGCAATGCGGAACACCCGAGTTCGATCCCTGGGTCGGGAAGGTCCCCTGGAGAAGGGCATGGCAACCCACTCCAGCGTTCTTGCCTAGAGAATCCCACAGGTGGAGGAGCCTGGCAGGCTATAGTCCACGGGGTCGCAAAGAGTCGGACATGACGGAGCGACTACACTTTACTTTTCTTTCTTTTTGGCCCTGGGAACTAATGCTTGCATGCGTGCACGCTCAATCTCTTGGTCGTGTCCGATTCTTTGGGACCCATGGACTGTAGCCGCCAGGCTCCTCTGTCCATGGGATTTTCCAGGCAAGAACACTGGAGTGGGTTCTCCAGGCAAGAACACTGGAGTGGGTTCTCCAGGCAAGAACACTGGAGTGGGTGCCACTTCCTCCTCCAGGGGCTAGACCCAGGGACTGAGGGACATGGAGCTTGGAGGGTCTGCCCCCAGAGCAGAGGGGTCTTCCCACTGCCCACTGCAGCATCAGGGGTGTCAGCTGGGGCTGTCCGGCTCTCCCCACCCCCAGGCTGATCAGCTGGGCAGTTCTATGGGTCTACCCCTGGGCAGGCACAACCTGCGTCCTGGCCTCAGGACCCCAGTTCTCCTCCTGCTTGGTGGGTCAGCGTGGTGCCTGGAGGGCACCCCCAGCAGGAAGATGGGTGGTACCCGCTTGATGGAAGAGTGGCTTGTGAGCATGTGGCCAGGGCACATGCTGGCTTCACTGCCTTCCTCGTCATCAGTTTGCGAAATGCCACCTCTATTTCTGCCAACAAGCAGTTCAAGTGCTCGCTATACAGCAGGCTCTGTGCCCAGCACTGGGACATGAAACAAGACACAGCCCCCCCTCCCTCAAAGGGCTCGTGACTCAGGGTGGTGACAGACCTGTGGGCTGCGCTGGGGGAGTGGGAAGCACAGGGTCTGAAGGACTTTGGAGGAGACAGTGAATCCAGGGGAGGAGCCTGGGGGACTTCCTGGAGGTGGTGTCAGTTAGCCTACGATCTGAATGCTGAGTAGGATTTAACCCAGGCATTAGAGGTGGGGGTGGGGGGAGAGGAAGAGGGTCCCAAGATGAGGACCAGCTCGTGCAAAGGCCGGAGCTTAGAATGAAGGGGGTGGGCATGAGTGGGAAGTGGGAGGGGGAACCCCTTGGTGATGGCCCACTGTGGCAGGACAGAGTCCACATGGGCAGAATTTACCAGGAGACTGAGTTTGGTGCATAGAGGGGCCCGAGCACCAGGCCAGGGGCTGAGCTCCCCGCCGACCAGGTGTGCAAGCAGAGCCCAGATGGCAGCTGCTCTCCAAGGATGTGAGGTTGACAATTTCGCCCTGGATAGGGCCAGATTAAACAGACTTTGAGGTCCCTTCCAGCTGTCACGCTCCTGCTTCTTGAAATCCCCTCTGGGAACAGCAAGATGATAAAATATAAATCAATAGGTTAAAAATACGCTTGTCTCCTGCACGTCCAGGGCCTGTCACTCGGCTGCCTTCCCCGATCTTCAGAGGATTCCTGCTTGACTCGGGCAGCCCGAGAGCCCAGCAGGAGAAAATCGCTTTGTTCCCGAGCAAGGCAGGCCGATCGCGCCTCCATTGACAAGACCTCGGGTTTTTTTTTTAATCATCACTGCCTTTAAAATGCACACTGTCCCATTTCACTTGACATCTCCTCCTTCTATCTTCCCTGCTTTAATCACCAGGGAAAGAAAGATCAGCCAGACTGCGGCAGTGAATGTGCCCCCCAAGACGGAGAGCAGAAAAGTCCTGCTTGCCCGAAGGCACCAAACTTGGGGATGGCCCATGTGCTGACCCCAAATTAACCAGGCCGACCGCTCTGCTGGGACCCCGGGGGGCTGTTCCTGCTTCACCTCCTGGGGTTCCCATAGCAACGGGGATGTTAGGAGCCGCTAATAGGGTCTGGCAGTGAGTGAAATGGAATTTGATGTAGAGGCTTGTGAAGTAATTGGGGAGAGAGGGCCCCTTTCTCGCCTGGCAGGTGAATGAAATCTCATTCCCTTGCTGTTCATACATTTTTGGGGGGTGGGAAACTTTCGGCTGCTTACGTGCATTTATTTTCATTTTTATAAACAGTTGTGTTTCCTGCACAGGCCTGGAATGAAGACTCTGTTAAGTTAGGGCCCAGTGTGTGCACCAACGACTAAGAGCGTGTGTGCCTTTGATGATTCGTGCCCACCTCCTCCCCACCCCCATGCCCCCCAAGGTCCCGGCTATCCCCGCCCGCTTTCCCAGCCCGCTGTCATCGGCTCTGCCCTCGGCCGCCGCTCCAGGGAACGTGAATGACAGCGCATACTTCGGGGCTGCGCTAGCCTCACCTGCAGCCCCCAGCTGCTGTTTCTGGCCGGCTCCTTGTTCTCGCAGGTGTGGCTGGGGACAAAGCCCCTCTTACACAGCCTCACGCGACCGTTCCTGCTCACCGGGACCACCTCCTCCTCGGCTCCCTGGGGCCGCGTCTGAGACGGTCCAGGGCTGAGTTGGGGAGATTCCTCCTGAGTGGCAGGCAGTGCTGGGTGGACCTCCCGGGCGTGGGATATTCCGAGAGTCACTGTGAGGCTCAGAGCGACTTTTTGGAGCAGAAACCAGCCTGGGGTCTGAGTGCTCTGGGGCTTGGGGGCTGGGGCTCATGGGAAGAGCACCCCCCCGCCCCATCCTGGGTGGGAGAGGGTCACCATACCCCCCGCGTCGAGAGCTCTGAAAGCAGCTGATCTCTGCCTTTGTCTCTGTTGCCATCACAGGTGATCTTGATCCTGACCAAGTATTACCACGCAGACATGGGGAAGGTTCTGGAAAGTTCTCTGTGGCGGTAAGTCAGCCCGAGGGCGGGCCTCCTCTCCTCCTGTACCTGCGCGTCTCCAAGGCTGGGGTTGAGATCCTGGGGCCTGGCTGGAGCAGCCCCCTCACTGGCGGCCTCTCGACTTCCCTTCCACTGGAAAACGCGTGTAGGAGAAGGTGAAGGCCAATAGGAGTCCCGTCAGCGGCGCACACAGGGCTGCGGCACAGACAGGCGTTGGAAGGCTCTCTGCTTTCTTCCCTTTCTGTCTGGGCTCCTTTCCTCTTGCTGTCGTCCTCCTGGGGGAAGGGGGCCTGCCTTGTGAATTCAGGTCAGTGCACAATTTCCTCTGGCTGTGCTCTGAGTTTCCGACGCAGCTCACGGAGTTCCCCAGACACACCGATTATCCTCACGGTCCGGGGGTCTTTCTTTCTCCCTGGCTCAGTCCAAGAGCTTGGAAAATAAAGAACCCGCCACTGCCGATGGGCACTAACTGTCTGTATGTGAAGGGTGAATTCAGTCCAAGAGTTAGGCGGCCTCTTTGATGGTTTCAGGGAGGTGGGCAAGGAGGAGGACTGGAGATGTCATTTGGGTTATGATCAGCTTTGTATTTGTGTCTGCAGCATGGCAACCCACTCCAGTATTCTTGCCTGGAGAATCCCATGGACAGAGGAGCCTGGCGGGCTACAGTCCATGGGGTCGCAAAGAGTGGGGCTGAAGTGACAGCTCGCGAGCCCCCTGGAAGGGGAAGGAAGGATCCCAGCGTCTTGGGCTGGGGTTTCAATGCATCTCTCAGGCGAGGACGCTGTGTCCTGGGGGCACCGCTCGACATTTCCACATTCTCTGCGTGTTGAACCGTTTTGCTTTCCAAGACATGTTTCTCGAGTGATAATTAACTCATTTTCTTTCTATTTGAAATCTATTAAAAACACAGAAGCCTGCTGATCAGGACTCCTGACATGCATGTCGCCACCTTGAGTTGATTTCCTGTTGGCCTTTGGTTTTGATTTTAGCAAAGGGGCTTCATGATTGATTCCTAGTTGGTTCTTACCGAGGGATTGCCCTGATGCTCCTGCAAGTTGCTGAAATGACCCCTGAGTTGGGTGCATCCTTTGCCAGATGAGGAGCAGGGTGGCCTTGTGGTGGTGGGCGTGGTCGCCCTGGTGCTGATGTGGGGAGTGGGGAGCCATGCGTTTTCCTTCCCTTTTCCAGTAGAAGTGCCTTTCTGAGCCTGCCCCTCTCAGCCTCAGATTTGCCTCCCAGACTCGCCAGTCTGCTTTCCAATTCCACGCCAGCCTCAGGATGAGGAGCCCGCCACAGATTCTTTCTGGCCAGGACCCCCGCTTCTTTATGTGCTGGGATATTTCAATCTCATGCCTTGAAGTAGCTCATCCAGCAAGGAGCCTGCTTTCAGAAGTGCTCCCCCGGAGGTGGATAAGGCTGTTTGTTCATTGTTTGGGATGAGAGTGGAGAGGGGCCTGAGCTTTAAAGCTCCAGTGAAATCTCATCAGTTGCCCTTTGAAGGTTTGCATTTGGGGGCTGGTTTTGGGGCCAGGCTCCTTGAGAAGGGCCGGCTCCTGGAAGGTTCCCCCTTCCAGGTGGGTGGTCCAAGGACTGATTCCCTTGGCTGCAAAGTAGAGAGAGGCACTCGTCCTCTCTAGCTCCAAGCAGAGTCCTTCTACTAAGTCAACTCAAACTCCAGCCCTGCCTGTCAGCCCAGGTCTCCATGAATGTTTGTTAATCCCCTGGAATGTGGGAGCTGGGTTCTGTCTGCTCCTGCAGCATCTTCAGAAGCCAGGGACAGAGGAGGTGAGGTTATTGTGAGTGTAGCTTAAGGAGCCAGCAGTCCTTCCTGGTGTCACTGTTCTGCTTCACAGAGATGCTGGGTGGAGTTAAAATTTGTGGCAAGTCTTCCTGGGGGCTTGGTGGGGGTGGAAATGACCTTGGCTAGCCCTCCAGTGTGGCCTCAAGACTCAGAATTCTTCATGTACAGGTAGGGAAGCCAGGCTGTTACCAACCAGGGTTCCTGGCCCCTCAATCATTGGAAGGACTGATGCTGAAGCTGAAGCTCCAATATTTTGGCCACCTGCTGTGAAGAACTCTTTGGAAAAGACCCTGATGCTGGGAAAGATTGAAGGCAGAAGGAGAAGGGGGCAGTGGAGGATGAGATGGTTGGATGGCATCACCGACTCAGTGGTCATGAGTTTGAGCAAACTTCGGGAGATAGTGAAGGGCAGGGAAGCCTGGTGTGCTGCAGTCCATGGGGTCCAAAGACTTGGACACGACTGAGTGACTAAACTCCAAGAGGCCAGACTACAAACTCAGGCAACGTTTTACTGGGGTCCCTGCTGCAGCAGGAGGGAGCTAGATCAAGTAACAGGTTCCTTTGCTCACTTCCTGAGGTGAGCCGAACTGGTTCTTTAAATGGGGTCAGGGTAGGGCTGTGTCCGAGGGTCGGGCAGGAGGGCTGGCTTAGGTGGTTTGCCCACCCTGTCGGCGGTGTTGAGTTCAGAGGTCAGGCGCAGTACCCTGTTTTGCTCCTGAAAACCTCTTTTTGCTCCTGGCTCTTCAGACACGGCTTCCCTGATTGACCCAGCAGTAAAGAATCNCTTTAAATGGGGTCAGGGTAGGGCTGTGTCCGAGGGTCGGGCAGGAGGGCTGGCTTAGGTGGTTTGCCCACCCTGTCGGCGGTGTTGAGTTCAGAGGTCAGGCGCAGTACCCTGTTTTGCTCCTGAAAACCTCTTTTTGCTCCTGGCTCTTCAGACACGGCTTCCCTGATTGACCCAGCAGTAAAGAATCCACCTGAAATGCAGGAGATGCGGGTTCAATCCCTGGGTTGGGAAAATCCCCTGGAGAAGGAAATGGCAACCCCACTCCAGTATTCTTGCCTAGAGAATTCCAGGACAGAAGAGCCTGGTGGACTACAGTCCATGGGGTCGCAAAGAGTCGGATAAGATTGAGCAACTAAAGAATAACATGGCTTTAGACATGGCAGTTGTGGTTTTTGGTCTTTGTGAATCTCGTCCAGAATTTGCTCCAATGGTGCATGCGCGCAGCTGTTTTTAGTCCCTTATATCTCTTTGCATTTTGTTGCTTGAGGAGACATTTGTCCAGGCAAAAACTCTGCAGCAAAGGGTTCCCGGTCCCAGCCTGTCTCAAGGAAGACAAACCACCCACCTCAGAGTCTCCACAGGGAGCTCTTTTTCCTCTCCAGAGCTTCCGTCTCCTTGTCTGTAAAGTGGAAACATCCCTGGATGGGAAATCGTGAGGACCGAGGGAGACTGCATACGAATCGTCCCCAGAACAGCACGCAGTCTAAATTTAGTTTTCCTCCGAAGCAAATCAACAGATTTTAATTTTCCACATTCTTTTCTCATCAGTCTCTAGACTCAGACATTTCCTCCCCTTTATTAAAAATACATGCAGAAGCATCAGTTATTTCCAGAAAGTTCATCTACATCCCTACCTGTCAGGCCTGATTTCTGTGTTTATCTCATCTTTCTTGTGCTGAGACTGCTGTACCGTGAGACGCAGAATCAAGTTGCGCACCTTCTCTCTGTCACACTTGCAAGGTGCTTCCCGTTTTTCCGTGTGGTATTACGGGCCACGTGGTCATTTTTTATGGCTGTGCGCTCACCCCTGGGATTGATTCGTTCTAACTCCTAGCCCTGCCTCCCTGTGGCTCAGCTGGTAAAGAATCTCCCTGCGATGCAGAAGACCTGGGTTCGATCTCTTTGTTGGGAAGATCCCCTGGAGAAGGGCATGGCAAGCCACTCCAGTATTCTTGGCTGGAGAAGCCCGTGGACAGAGGAGCCTGGTGGGCTGCAGTCCATGGGGTCACACAAAGAATCGGACACGACTGAGCGACCAACACTTTCACACCATACCCGCAACTCCTAGGCCTGCTGTGGTCCTAAGACATTTTGGCACGTTGCTTTCCTTTCCACTTTGTTCCCTGGGAAGCGTCTTAGGGAGTTCCATTTCTGAGCCAGACGCTCTGAGCAGATTCACGGCTGGCGTGCTGCAGCCAAATTCTCTTCTGGGAGGAATGCAACCCTCCACATGGGGCAGTGCCCTGCCTCCTGGCCGCCTTCGGGCTGACAGCTTTTCTGGAACTTGCTAACCTACTGGCCCAAAGGGAGGCAGTGCCATTTCCATACCCCTAGCGAAGGCGAGTGGTTTCTGGGTTTAACCGTGTTTTCTCTTGCGAGCATCCCCTGCTCACATCCCCTGCATTGAGACCATGCAGGCTTGTTTAGAAGGGGCGAGACTGCCATCGGCCCTTGGTCAGGATGTCACCACCCGCTGTCTGCCGTTAAGGGCACGTCTGGAGGTTCAGGGTGCTGGGGTCTGGCAAACACGTATTCAGTGGGGTTATTAAAGACACATTTGTTGAATGTGCACCCAGACTCCCAAGAATTCTCCTGTGTAATAGCAATAAATACATTTTTAATGACAGATGTGGTATTTACAGTCTGGAAATGGCTCTCTGAAATCTAAGCTGAATGCATTTTTAATTGTTCTGCCATTTGTGGGCCCCATGGCGGGAGTGTCTCTTCCTGGCTGGTTTCGAGGGTGCAGCCCTCTGCCCCTTCCTTCTCTGTGGGCACTGTTCTCTGCTCAGCCTCTCAGCCAGGAGGAGGGGGCAAGTGTGGGAGCCCCTTCCCCCGAGAAAGCTGCTGATTGGCCTCAGGGGTTGGACAAGCACAGAGCTGGTCCACCTCCCCTCCTGGACCATCCCGAGGTGAATGGTAACTAGAGGAGCCAGCTGACCCTGCCCTGGCCTGCATGTCCAGTCTCTGCAAGTGTCCCGGGGCTGCTGGGGCAAAGGACCAAAGTCTAGGGGCTTAAAACAAGAAGAATGTTCTCCCACCGTCCCACAGCCCAGTAGTCTGGCACGGAGATTCGGGCAGGGCCGGCCTCCCTCTGGAGGTGCTGGGGAGGATCCTTCCTGCCTCTTCCAGGTCCTGGGGACTGGGGGCCGGGGGCCTTCCTAGCAGCTGCATCTCTCCAGTCTCTGCCTCCATCTTCAC